GGATTCCTTTGACGGTGTTTTCGACACCCATACTGAATTCGAGCTTGAGGACAAGCTCGTAGTCCAAGAGGGGTGTAATGTTGCGGACACAGAAGCAGTAGACACACTCGTAGGCGAGCCTAACCACCGCGGCTGGTAGCAGCAGTGAAGGGCAGCAACACGCACAGCAGCCCGTACAGCAGCACGCACCGCGCGACAGCAGCACTAGGCAGCAGCACGCACCACACGGCAGCAGCACTGTGAAACGCGCGCACCGCCCGACAGCAGCAGTAGAGTGGGGCCCACATGATAGCTCATCAGGGTAGGCCCACACTTATCTTGCCACAACAGCTCTACTCGCCAACTCGCCGCCAGCTGCATTATCCCTCATCCCTTATCCTTATCTTATCTTATCTTCTTAGTAAGAGTTTTGTTTGCCACTAGAAGTAGGAGTTGTGTTACCATTAGAAGTAGGTAATTTATTTAGAAGTAGAAGTTTGAGTTTGATAGGGATTACCCTAGCCTAGCCGAATCCAACAAGGAACCCCCTTTTGTAATCTCCTATTTAAGGAGCTATGAGTTGAAATAAAGGCATTCAGTTTTCCAATCAAGAGAAGAGTGAGGAGAGTTCGGGTGGTCTATTGGACAAATCACCCATTCGGTTTTCCACAATAGGGTATGCACGCAAGGGAAGGCGCAAGGGGAAGCAAGCGGTTCTCCCCGTGGACTGACCCGTGACGAGATCCTACGCCCGGGCCCATAACACCAAGGCCCTGGGTGTAGACTTTCTTGGGCGCGCACCCCAGCATCTAAAAGCGATCCCTCAAGAGGAGGGCCCCGCTCACTAGGGCTTAACTAACCCCCTCCTCCCAGATGGAGTCCCCCTCGCAGATGTTCCACTAGGGATGAAAGATTTGGTTAGACCGCTCGATGAGCTCCTCTAGGCGTGTAGGGGTAGAAAACGGCCCCATTCGTTCTTTGTGGGACCCCCTCAAGGCGTCCCCCGTCGAGCCCCCAGAGCGGGCCACCTTCTATGGGGGCTAATCCCCCGCGGCTTCCTCAGCCGACCTCTTCTGACCCGCTTTGGTCTCCTGGGCAGGCTTCTTTGACCCGGTGGTCAGCTTCGGCGGCACGAGCTGCTCTCGCCTCAGCTACACATCCTCGGTGGGCTTCTTCCTCTTGGCAAGGACTTGTGAAGTTGCTCCCTTCATGAGAGCTGTTGGAGTGGTCCCTTTGGCCAGGATTTGTGGAATGGTTCCCTTAGTAGGGATCTGACGAGAGGACCCTCCCTTCGCAGGGGTAGAGACCTTCTCCTTTTTCCCATCAAAAGGCCTCTGAGGCGTTTTAGACCGCTCCTACATGGCGCAAGCACGTTTCAACACAACTTTGCAGGCATCCATTGACACCTCCGCAAACAAAGCAAAGCCATCGGTAATGCAGCAAAAAAAAAGGAAAAGGACATGTTAAGGGACTACTGGACCTCTCCTACCGAGGGGAGCAGGGTTGAGCCCTGCAAAAATTAGTGGGACCTCCTCCACCAAAGGCTGGACTCAGACTCTCCCTAGGTCGAGCAACCATGCGAGATCATTGTTCTCCTCACTCATGAGCAGGGGAACACTCTTCTCTATAGCCTGGCTAACCTCTCCCCACCCCGACCTGAAGGACCAACTCTCGGGACATGACAAAAATAAGAATTTTCCCTTCCAATTATGCACAGACGAAGGGTTGTCTATCGGCTTGGTCCTATAGGGTTGGAGGTAGTACATGTCGTCTTTGGAAGAATGCTTCCCCGGCACAAACAACGCCTGGAAGAGTCTTGGCATTAGTTCCACCCCCTAGAACCGAGCCACGACTAGCATGGCCACTATAGTCCTAACGGCGTTGGGCACTAGCTAGCTAAGACTAATCTCATACTCCCTCAACAGTTCGGAAATCAGCGGATGAAGGGGAAATTGAAGACCAAACTGGAGAAAATGAAGGGGAATCCACAATCGTTCACCCACTTCAGGCACCCTCATACCATAGGACGAGGGAATGAAATACTGCCTTGCCAGAGCTTTGACCCAGTCTCCATCTAGAGAATTCTCGAAACCCAGGCGGAGGACATCAGTCTCAGCTACTACCTGGGCAGCCCTCGTCCTGGAAATAGGGTCTAGGGCTTCCTCCCCCTCGGCTGGGTAGGACCCCTCAGCCTCCCTCGGTGTCATAGAGGTGGCACTCTCGCAGGGAGGGTCCTCACCTCGATGGCTGCCTTTGGCACCCTCAGAGGCTATTCTCCCCGAAGCACCTCAACCTCCTGCCAAAGGGGGGCAAGAGTAGGACTCAAAAGAGAATGGGGAGAAGGGGTATAGGAAGAGCTCCCCTCCGAGTCATTCGGAAGATTATAACACTTAGGTCCAGAATCTGAGAAAGACATTGTTTAAAATTACCTAAGAAATGTGGAGGAAGAAGGAGTGAGAATAAAGTGTTGAAGGTTGGAGAGTCTGGAAGCTGAGTTCACTCGAAGGCAAAAGCGCTTAGAGGCAAATGACAAGAGTGCTGCCGCTAAGGGCCCTATTTAAAGAAGAACGAATGGCCCAAATCTCTCAAGATCCAACGGCTGAGAAGCCACCGCCTCCACAACCCAATCATGGCGCGCCATGTGACGTTCAGCTTCGAAAGGCGAAACGACACGCTAATAACGACTCGGATCATTTCAAATCTAACGGATGGGAAGCACCTCCGCACCTGTGATCTAGCCGTGCCGCACCACTGAGCGCTCACCCTCAAAAGACGAAAAGACGCTCAAGACGAGCCAGCGTGTCCACCCAAAGCGACCCACTGGTCCGAGCGACCTGTTCCAGTGAATACGCACACCGATTCAACCAGAAAGTCGTCCTGCGCAAGGATCCTTAGGCCTCACGGGCCCTTCGGCTTCATAGGTCCTCGACCTAAACAGCCTCCAACTTCACAGGTCCTCAACCTAAATAGCCTTCGACCCCATAGGTCCTCCGCCCAAACGACAACACCTAAGCACCTGCACTGAACGCGCCTCCCGGGTCACCTGTCCAAAGTAGTAGTGCCATACACTCGCAGCGTCAGTCCAAATTACAAAGACGAACGAGGCAGAGACACGAAAGAGGATGCCACTGTAGGGTACACCTCGGCTGTCAGGCCCACTAGCGCTCACCACTACTACTCCCATCAGCCGAAGCCGAACTCTCCTCCTCGGCCTCAGGAGTGGGGTGCAAGTGATGTGGAGTGACCCAACCCAGCCCACGAGTGCCAGGTTCGGGAACGAGATCCGCTACAACAGGGGTTACCCTACTCCCCTCATACGAAGCCAATTGCAGAGCATTCACATGATCCTTCCAAGCCCGCAGTACGCTTTTGCACGGCTCCCATCTCAGGCATTCATCTCCGCCTACCTCAAGGCAGCTCAAGTATAAATAGGGGTGCCCCCCCCTCCAGGTAAGGGGATGGAATCAAGGTTAATCTGATACAATCTGCATCTGGACCTGGAATTGGTCTCAAAAGCTATATTCTAGTTCCCCTCTTTGTACCTCGTACTAACTTGACCACTGGAGACTCTGCCTCGAGTTCTCACCCGGGGCCTCTAACGCATGCTGTCTTGCAATGCCTCGGCCATCTACCTTCGGCTTCAACAATACTCGAAACCCATTCTACCTCGACCTATAGACCTCAACCTCAGCACAAGCTCTCTGAACCCTCGAAGTCTTCAACCAGCCTTCAGAGTCTAGGAACAAAATTACTTTGTTGTCCTCGGACAATCCGAGCACCAACAGTAAGTTACTTATCCGGGTAAATACACTTACCTAGATTATTAGTGTTTCCCAGGAAAGACTTATCCAAGTAAGTGCATTTATCCATGTTCTTTTATTTACTATGCAAACAAGACAATGACCATTTTAGCCATAAAAATCTATTATTACAAAGGACATTTTTGTCCCATTCAAATGTTGGCAACTTTCCCCCAAGGTGGGAGTGTTATTTATCCACCTAGAAATGAGTATCACTTAGGTAAATGATATTTAGGAAAATAAATCTTCCTTAGTCCCCACATAAATCTGAAAAAAGAATATGGGATTTTTGGTCAATGGAAATCAAAATCCCATTGACCAACTTTCTCCCCTCTCAAAATCAAAAAGAAAAAAAGAAAAACGCCCCCTAAATGATAAATCCAACTTAAAGGGTCAGGTTTATTTGAATGTAGGTTCAGGTTAGTGTTTTGATACTTCAATTCGAGTTCTGATTTAGTACGATTTCTAATCCCATAGGTTTCTTTTCATGTTTGTTTGGTTTTTCTTCTTTCACAGTGGAGGTAACACCTTGGAACCCATAAACCAAATTCCAACTTAAATTTATGGTTTTTTAAATTTTAGAATGTATTATAAAAAGATACAATTGAAAGTCCACAGGTCAGTATTGAGTTGAATCCTATAAGGCTTGGGTGGGTTCAGAAACTGCATGTTATGAAGTTGGGCGGGGTTGGTCCTATTCGCTCCTCTGATCAGCTTGGACAATTTTAGCATGCACTGGCACTACCATCTCACTAGTCACTACATCTTCAGTTGCTTTCTGGGCCCATGTCCTAGATATGGTCAGAGGTTTTATGATCCAAAATTAGAAATTTTGGCCCAATGGCCATGCCATTTACAAAATTCCAGTCATCATGATTCATGGTTTGCCTCTGGGTGTGGGCCTTGGATGCCCAATTGGGATGACCACAAAGTCTTATCATATTTTATCTAGAGGCCATACATGTGTTTACATCAGCCAAACCAGATTTGCACTTGGCAATAAGTGTATACCTCCTAGGAAAATGCCTGATGGCCCTGATCTTTCAGTAGAGGCTATAGTTTCAGAATGGGTAATGTGTATGAGTAGTATACAATGTTAGTTTAGATCAAATTCTGTTACTCACTTGCTAAGTGGACCTCACAGTCACATAGGAAGGGGCTTTCATTGCATCAATTAATAAAATACCCAGATATTGATAAATGAAAAGTTAGATCAAACTCCGATCATCTTGACCTTAAACCAAGCTGGCTCATGCTCTGGCATATACAGCTTGCAAAGGCAAATCATCTTATCTATTATGACTCCATCCAGCATAATCATGTAAAATGTAAATAGTATCTCTAATGGAAGCTGCTTTATTTTGAAAAAAAAAAAAAAAAAACTCTGGTCATCTCAAAATATCTCACCCCCTGTACATTTGGTTGAACCTGTCTTGACTCTGAAACATATTACCTGGAAACCCCAAGAAATCAATATGAATCTAACAAGGCCTTTTAATTACATTGCTCTTTTTGGGTCCGGAAACCCCAGTAGTCTGCTAGAGAGATAAAGATGGAACTGAAATTCAGGCATTGAAGAAATATCATGAATGCTCTTTGAGTGTCCTTTGGATACAAGGAAATCAGCCAGCTGATTGCCCCCTTTTCTAAATGAATGAACACATGCAACTTCTAAATCTCCTTCATCTGAAATCATACAACAATCTTTTATTAGGGTCTTAATGCTCCATGGAGGGTTGGTTATTTTGTTCAAACATTCAATTACCAATTTAAAGTCTCCCTTAATCTTCACCGACTTTTGAGCTTGATTTCTTGCTACATGGATAAAATCAGAAACCAGTTTTAAACTTTTAACTTTCAAAACAACAATGAGAATCATATTAAGAATCTTAAGGGTTTCATCAGATCTCAAGAAGACTCAGAAAATGAAAAATGACCTGTTTTGAACCTACACAGAATTCCTAACATATTAATTGACAATACAATTTAGAGAGACAACCATATGAAGAAATTATCATGATAGCTTACATAGCAGCAACAATTGAATATTTTGACCTTAAGAAACCCCCATTTCGCTGTCTTCCTTCTGATCCACTTTTTCTGATTCATATTGGTTTTGGTGGGCTACATCGTAAGTTGCATGGAGACCAAATAACAAAAAGTAAACCAACATCACTGCAGTGCAGATCCCAAACCTGATAAAAGTCATGTAACCCAGTGATCCCATGAGAAATATATTTAATCCAATTGAGAAGGATGGAAACCATGGGACACATGGAACACCCCACACCTTTGGTACTCTCTTCTGTGGAAGCAAGTTAAGCCCCAGTGTTCCTAGAAACCAGACCACCATGGTTATCATGTACCCTGGCCATTTTCTATAATTAGAAGCCCAAAGAGCACTGGTTCCAATTGAAGAACCAATGATCATCAAAAGACACAATAGTAACTTAAGGAAATTAGCCTTAGGAGTGACATCCTTGACATAGTACCTCCTCACCATTAAAGCAACTGCCATAAGCATGAAGATGAATAGAGTACTAAGAGAAGAAACACTAGACAAAACATCCAAACTCGAGAAAAAAGCAACACAGGCACTGATAATGGTAACCAAGAGGGTAGCATTAATGGGTGTTCCAGTTTTTGGGTGAACAAGAGCAAAATAGGGTGGTATCATGTGGGATCGAGCAATCTGGGTGGTATAGCGCGCCTGTCCAAGAGCACCCACAAGCAATCCAGTAGTCATCCCTTTAAGGGCGCCTAGAGCCACTAGAAACTTAGCCCACTTCATGCCCACACTCTGGAATGCCATTGAGTAAGCTGCATTCACATCTATTTCATTGTACTTCTGCATCATGCTGAGTGACAGTGCCATCACACAGTAGACTACTGTAATCATCGACATAGACCCTACTAAACCTATTGGTATATCCCTGGAAGGTTGCTTTGTCTCTTCCGCCATTGTAGCAACCATGTCAAAACCTGTGTAAGCCCAGTACACAACTGCTGCAGCTTGGAATGTTCCCCCTACTCCGTGGGGAAAGAATGGAGTCAAGTTGGAGCTGTTGGCATGAATGAAACCAGCCACTACTATAAAGACTATCAGAACTGCACTAAGTAAGGATGGTATCCAATTCAGGTGGGAAGTTAAGCGTGTCCCACTCATGGCGATGACAGAAGGGATTATAAGGGCGAAAACTGCAATTGGGTCTAAAAGATTGAACCCTTCTGCAAATTTACTCACATGGATACACAGAGCATTGGGTTTGAGGTTGATAAATGTCTGAAAATATGAACTCCAGGATCGACCAAGTCCGGCTGCACCAACGATGCTTTCCAACAGTATATTACCAGCAGCAATGAATGCAACGAAGTCTCCCAATTCTACTCTGAGATAAGAAAACGACCCGCCTGCGACAGGGATTTCTACAGCGAATTCAGTGTAACAGAAAACAGAGAGCAATGCAGAAATACCAGAAGCAGCGTAGGATAAGACGATGGAAGGGCCTGCGTGGTTGTGAGCTTCCTGGCCGGTGAGAACAAAGATGCCCGTGCCAACAACAGAACCAAAGCTTAGCCAGATGAGATCCCACCAAGTGAGGCAGCGTTTCATGTCGTTCTCGCTCTGTCTCCTCAGCACATCGAGCTCGTTCATCTCGGTTGATCGGTCGAGAAGGCGGTCCTTCAACCGGAAACATGTCTGAGAGACAGCCGACCTGTAAGTTGCCCAACTTTGGAAAGACTGTTCAGGGAAGAAATCCTTTTTGCTCCATCTCCAGTATTTCCTTGTTACATCATCTCCAATCTTCTCTCCCCCTTCCATTTCCGTGGTGGTTCTGAAGATTAGAGAGAAAGCGCTGCCCCTCTTTCGACGATATTTTCTTGAAAGTGTTTTTAGTTTGCGAAACTCAACAAGCCAGAAAGAGAATTTAACGACGGGCGGCTTGAGAGGGAGACTGGATCTGCTCTCACACATGGCGCCTCACAGGCGCCTCACATATACATTCTATTACTTATTTATTATTATTTACGGTGAATGTGGATGTGAGGCGCCCATTTGTCAGGAGCAGATCCGTCACCTTGGGAGGAGGGTGGAGTGGAGTGTTAGTGTGTTACAGTGAAACTTAAATACCCAAAAACCATTATTATTAATTATCAAAAAAACAAGAAAGAGATAATTCTATCCCGAAAAGTAAGAGATAATCATTGGACGAAATCTGAATTTAGACGATATATCGGATTATACTCGCCGACTACGTTGTAAATGTTCCCACGATAAACCAGGGATTCTGAAACTTTTGAAATTTGAATAATCTTTACGGAACAGTCGGAGCCTAATTACCTCATTCCTCGGTAATTAATGGACTGATGGCAGTAAGCCCCTCTCTGATGGACTCATGGAACTCTGCCCGGCATTTTGACCGACAGTATCGGGAAAGATTCAGATGCTTTTTTAAAAAATTAAATTGAATTAATTTTTGATAAATCTGAAATCTGAAAAGTTATAAAAATATTAAAAAGTTTTTTAAAGAGGTATGAATTTTTTTTTTTACTTTTTAGAGATTGTTAATAGATAAAATTGTTTATGTTGGATTAATTTTTTAATATTTTAAATTTTTAAATTATTATTTTATCTTTAAAACAGATTATGATAATTTTGAGTTCAATTTTTGTTATTTTATATAAATAATTTATTAAAATCAAAATAATATTGAAAAATATGAATAAATTAGGGAGAAGTATGGACAGGCCCATTGCAGAAACCTGAATCTCAGGCCAGCCCATACAGAATCTATGATAACAGTTAAATTCAACTTTTGAAATTATAGGACAGATTCCCACGCCAACTAAGCATCATGCTTTTCCCTATGCTTTTCATGTGAGGCGGCAATCCAGCTTCGATTCCATGTCATAATAATACTTATTTAAATTTTTATTTTGAAATTTAATCTTAAGTTGCAAAGACTAAAATGACCCTGCTAAGGCCCACAGTCATTGCTCTCTTCCACTCTCCCTCTTCTTTCTCTTTCATTGTCTCTCCCACTCTAAACTCTCTTCTCTTTGACTGTTTCTTCCTGCAACTGCAAGTTCTCCTCCCCAGTGGCACTCCTCTTTCTCACTTTCATTTTCTCCTTCCTCACTATCCCTTTGTCGCTCCTCACTCTCTCCCGCTCTCCCTCTCTCAGTCTCTCTCGCTCTCACTTTCTAGGGCCCATGGTCATTACTCTCTCCCGCCCTCCCTCTTCTCTCTTTCGTTGTCTTTCACACTCTCAATTCTCTTCTCTTTAACTGTTTCTTCCTAGGGTTAAGGTTTATGCAATGGGCCTGTCCATACTTTTCCTTTTTTATATGGGAAGGGAAATTTTTTGTGATGTTACCTGTCAACTTTGAAGATAAGAATATTTGGAAATTTTTAATCTTTTACAAAATAAAAATAAATAGTTGGTTTCAACTGATCAACTGAACGAAATGGAACTAGTAATTCAACGATTTCTTCATCCAAAGAATTCAACTAAAGAAAGAAACAGAATTTGATGAAGAATAAGAAGCCAACCTAAAAAAAACTTCAGTTTGAGGTTTTTTTAACAAAACGAAAGCGATTAAACGAAGCGATACTGAATTCGATCTTTGCAGCGAAACTTCAATTCGAAGCAGAAAATCTGTTGGAAGCTCTTCGCCTTTTCATGCAGAATTGCAGGTTTCCAATAACGAAAGACCTTAAAACAAGAACGCATCAAAGACAAAAAAATCGGAGGAAACGGAGACTTTAGCTTGACAGAACGATGAATGACTTTTGAGGATGAATAAAGTTGCTGCTACGATGCTGCCCTCCTTTCGAATTCGTGTTCCATAGCCTTCTCTACTCACTTTTCATTTTCATTTGCTTTGTCCATTCTATTTTGATTCTTGAACAGTGATTTCTCTTACTGAAAGTACAATCCAGTGATTTAAGAATCAAAATAGAACGGACAAAGCAAATGAAAATGAAAAGTGAGCAGAGGAGGCTGTGGAACATGAATTCAGGAGGAAGTGAGAGCGAACGGGAGAAAGTGAGAGCGAGAGGGAGGGAGAGCAGGAGAGAGGGAGAGCGAGAACGGGAGAAAGTGAGAGCGAGAGAGACTGAGAGAGGGAGAGCGGGAAAGGGTGAGTGCGCGACAGAGGGAGAGCAAGACTGAGGGGGTGCGAGGGAGGAGAAAATGAGAGTGAGAAAGAGGGAGAGCGAAAAGAGCGGGAGAGAGTGAGGGGCGACAGAGGGAGAGTGAGACTGAGGGAGAGCGAGGGAGGAGAAAATGAGAGTGAGAAAGAGGAGCACCGCTGGGAGGAAAACTAGCAGTTGCAGGAAGAACTGTCAAAGAGAAAGAGTTGAGAGTGCGAGAGACAACGAAAGAGAAAGAAGAGGGAGGGCGGGAGAGAGCATTGACCGTAGGCCCTAGCAGGGTCATTTTAGTCTTTGCAACGTAAGGTTAAAATTCAAAATAGAAATTTAAATAAGTGTTATGATGACATGGAATCCAAGCTGGATTGTCGCCTCACATGAGAAGCACAGGGAAAAGCATGATGCTTAGTTGGCATGGGAATCTGTCCTATAATTTCAAAAGTTGAATTTAACTGTTATTATAGATTCTGTATAGGCTGGCCTTATAAAAAATAATTTATTATATATAAATTTATGTTAAAAATAAATTATTAAGTGTTAAAATAATAATGAAAATAGTAATAAAGTGCATGAAGCAATGAAAAAAATATTTAATAATTATCACATTTTTAAATTAAAACTATTAAAATATTTAAAAATTTAAAATAATTAATCATTAATGCAAATATAAATTATAAAAAATAAAAACATTAATATTTAATAAATTTATAAATTAAAAATAAATTTATAATCTGATAATTATTATAAATTATCAAATTGAGATGGCCCGAGTCGGAATTGTTATCATCTCCACGGAAGGTTTCACTTCTTAGTGGTCCCTAGTGTGATGATCTCCATGTGCATGTCCTGTTTTTCTAGCTCTCTCGAAATTGAAAAGATAATCCATTAATCCAAAAAATAATTCATCCATCCATGATTTTCAGTTTCAGCTTCTCTCTACCACTCTCGAAAACTTCCTTGCCCGAGCCGTTCAAATCTCTGTCAACTCCCCGCCGAAAAAGAGCATAGGAGCTGTCGTTGTTGGAGCTGGGCTCGCCGGGTTAGCTACTGCTACTCTGCTCCACTCGGATAATACCCATTCCTCCTCCTAGAAGCTTTGGACAGAGTCAGCGACCGCATTAGAACTGACGTTGTTGATAGATTTATGCTTACCTTGAACAAGATTGTCGCCAGCCGACCGAGAACAGCGATAGGGGAGAGAGAGAGAGAGAGAGGGAGGCAGGGAGGGAGAGGGAAATCGAACAGGACCCCCAACTGAGAACGCCGCTGCTGAGAAATTGAATAGGACCGCTGCCGTCCGATTGAGAACAGCGACAGTGGCGGCCGGCGAATATAGTGTTTCTTCGAATTCTCCGTCGCCATCTCCCTTCGAGTTTAAGACTTTTAAACACCATGTAAAATATCGATTCTCCTAATACCCTCAATTGGTGTGAATTAATATCACCAATATTCCTTATATTTTTATTTCTTTATTCTTTATCTTTTTAATTTTATAATGTTAGAGGATTTTACAGACTATTTTAAAGTTTCGAGTTTTTTAAAAAGTTTTTGTATCAACGTATCTAATTATTGCGATATTATAATTCTTGCTAGGAATATAGAAAACCCTTAACCATGGTTGGGTGCATTAATTTGCAAGTAAATGGCAACTTGAAGCATTATAGCTTTCCATATCCTCTCCTTTTAGTCATTTGGGCCAACTAATTGAATCCCCTCTCTTTCTTATTTGAGATTAAAGCCCGTTTGGTTTGTGGGAAAGGGGTCTAAAATTAGAATCAAAATTTGGTTGGGTGGAATTAGAATCCCATTCCCATTTTTATTGGAATGGCATTCCTCTATTTGAGGAAATGGTCATTCACTGCTCCATCCTTGGGAATGAAATCACATTCCTGTTGATTCCAATTCTCATTTCCATTTCTATACAAATTATGGGAATGGACCATTTTGATTCCGATTCTGATTGCGAACCAAATGGGTCTTAAATTTTCTAAACTTTCTTATTTAATTTTTAACATAGGTTGTCCCTCCTTATATTTGATTTTTGAAAAGCAAAGGAAGTTTCATTTAAGTATTCCCAAACAATGCTCAGTTTGAGAAGAATACAAAATACAAATATATAAATAGTGCAAATATTTGTATTTATACTCTCCCTAAGATTGCATTTGTTTTCGGTATAAGTATGGATCCATGTAAAACTCCACTCTTGGTATGTATTTGTTGGTGTTCGAATAGAGTGTAGTTTTACATAAAAAATCGGTATAAACTCCACTCATGGTAGAGTTTTACTTCGACAATCGATGTAAATACAACATTGATAATCACCTTTTTTGAAGTTACAATGGTTCACTCATTTAACCGTTTGGTGTTGAACTCCATTGATGTATTTTTACATTGATAAATATTTACATCGAAAACAAACACAGCCTAAATAAATTTGGTTGCAATGCAAATAAATTTGCACTGATGCAAAACCATGACAGTACAAATGATTTGAGCATAAATTTTGACCTATTTTTGTTTCAACTTTTAGCTTATTTTGTTTGGTTGCAGTACAAATGAAATTAATTAAGACATGAAGCAGGATAAAATTGATGGAGGGAGATTTGGCCCGACCCCTTGGCCGTGCGACACGTGGAAGCAACAGAGTGTGACTTGGCAGGAGCGCCAGCTCAGCACAACAACAACTGTACCCGAGCTCACCGAGGGGAAGCCCGACATCAAGAGCTCACTAAGGATGAAACCCGAACTGACAAACGTATCCCAGGAAGGACCCGA